GGATTTTAGGGTTCTGGAAAGGAATTCCGATTGGCCATATTGAGTGGGTGTCAGCGAGGCTGAACCTTTCTGTAAAACACCCAAAGGCAGCAAACTCCTGAGCGACCCCCGCTTCAGTCAACAGTGGGTCGCACAAGGCTCAGGGAAAGCTTGTGGTGTAGCCATAATACTCAGTAGAGACCTGAACTTCACTGCCACAACAGTCCTCAAGGACAAAAAAGGCAGATTCATTTTCGCTAAAGGGACACTAGATGGCAAAATCAAACTGACAATCGGCTCCATATATGTCCCAAACACGAAACAATTAAAATTCTTCCAGAAGACACTAAACAAATTCCTCTCCTTCTCTGAAGGGGAAGCAATCCTAGGAGGGGACCTCAGTCTAAATATGAAAGGTATATCCCTGAAAGATATCCACCCTACAACCCCATGGGCAACCTTCCTCCGAAGGAAACCCCCAACAACTAGGAACTCTTACAAGTTACTAAAAATGCTAAAAAACAGGGGTCTCTACGACATTTGGGGTGAGCAAAACCCGGGAGACATCAGCCATACATTCCAATCGGGACACCATGATACAGTGTCCATATTGGACAGCATTTTACTCACACAGGGTCTGATCCCCTCAGTAGAATCAACAAACATAGGTAACATTAAAAGCACAGATCACGCCCCAGTAGAAGTCATCGTTAAAATATGAGAAGGAACACAAACCACCCCATCATGGTCCTTCAGTCCCATCCTAACTACAAACAAACAAATTAGAGAGAGTCTCACAAAAACCCTCCAAAACTACTTCAAGGAAAACGATGTAAATAATATAACAACCCCCCTCCTATGGGACGCAATGAAAGCGGTCGTCAGAGGAGCTTGCATAAAAGAGAAAACATTCCTTAAAAACCAAACCTCCTCAAAAATTAGCAAAATAGAACAAGACATCACAGCCCTCTCATCACGCTACAAACAAACAGGATCTAAAAAACTCCTCAAACTTATAGAACAAAAAAGGAGAGAACTAGACTCCCTAGAAATTAACAAAACAATGATCAACATTCTATACTCTAAACAACGTTTCTACGAATATGGAGGGGAAAACTCCAGATTACTAGCAAATAGATGTAGGGAAAAAAGCACTCAAAACAAGAATACACTGCATCACCAAAAAAGACGGCAACATAACATTCTCCCCCAAAGAAATAACCTCAGAATTTGCAGAATTCTACTCCAACCTATACACCTCCCATAACCCACCAGAGAAGGAAATCAGAACATTTCTAGCAGGACTGACCATGCCTACCCTAACTGATGAGGAACAGGAATTCATGGACAGCCCTATCACCCCAGAGGAAATAGATGCGGTCCTCAAAAACCTGAAACCACACAAAGCCCCAGGCCCAGACGGCTTCACAGCAGAATTCTATAGGAAATTCAAAGAACCCTTGATGCCCTACATGACCCGCCTATTCAACGACATCATAAAAGGGGCCCCCATCCCCAAAACCTGGACCCACTCCAAAATAGTCTCCATCCCAAAACCACTAAAAGACAGCCTCAAAGTAGAATCATACCGCCCAATCTCATTAATAAACCAAGACTACAAGATATTCACATCAATCTTGGCCAACCGCCTAAAAATCTTTCTACACAAGTTAATAGCCCCAGACCAGACTGGCTTTGTCCCTGGCCGCAATATAACAGACCCCATCAGGAAACTACTGAACCTGATCGAACACAGCAAGGCAACCAAACTCCCATTGACAATTATGTCCCTAGACATCCTCAAAGCCTTTGATTGCTTGGAGTGGAAATACATATTAGCAGTACTAACTAACATGAAATTTGGCCCCAACCTCCTACAAATCCTCAAACAAATATACTCCCAAGCCTCAGCAAAATGCAGAACTAACGATATGGATTCTAACACTATAGCTATCCAAAGAGGCACGAAACAAGGATGCCCACTGTCTCCCTTCTTATTTATCCTGGCTCTGGAACCCCTAGCAATCCGCATCCGAGCAGCCACAGACATCAAGGGAGTGGAAATAAAAGGCAGGACCTATAAATTAGGGCTCTTTGCAGATGACCTAATGGTCACAACACCAGACCCCATAAGCACAGCAACCTCCCTAATCAGAGAACTCAACGCATTTGCAATGGTGTCGGGCCTACAGGTAAATTTTACAAAGTCAGAAGCTATGTGCTTCAACACCCCTCCTCACACCCAAAAAGAACTCACGAAGGTCACCAAAATAAAACTTTGCCACACCAAGTTCAGATACCTAGGGGTACAAATAACCAGAAACCTCAATAAATTGTACCTCCACAACTACAAGCCCCTGTGGCGACAAATTAACAAAGACCTAAAGAGATGGAATAACATGAATTTCACTCTCTCAGACAAAATAGCCATGATCAAAATGATCACACTCCCAAAACTAACCTACCTATTCCAAACCCTCCCAATCTGGATCCCCTCAACCCAACTTCGCAGTTGGCAGAGAAAACTACACTCTTTTATCTTCTCACATAAAAAAACAAGAATAAGCCCCAAATACCTGCACCTCCCCACCTCAGAAGGAGGATGGGGAATCCCCAACATAGAAGCATATTACATTGCCAACCAAATATGCCATATACTCCCATATATACTAGAAGATGAGACAAAACAACGGGTACACCTAGAGAGGGACACAATTGAAAACACCTGCACCACAACATACCCACTCCTCCCAGACAAACTAAAGAAAATTCCCACAACACTTAACAGGTACACACAGACCATGCTCAAAGCATGGAAAACAGAAATAGGCAAACTATCCCCAACCCCATCCCCACTAATCCCCCTGGCATACCACCCATTATTCCACCATGCAGCACAAAACCTCCAGATAAAAACCTGGCGAACCAAAGGCTTATATCGCCTAATAGACTTTTATAAAAATAACAAACCCTTGTCAACACAAGAAATACAAGACAAACTAGAAGACACCCAAATGCCCTGGTTAACACAACACCAACTACATGCCCTCTTAAACAACCCAACAGTAAAATCAGCAGCAACTAGGCCCCTGACAACCTTCGAAAACCTCCTCCTAACAACAAAGGGAAACGGTAAAGGGATGGTATCCGCAATATACAAAATACTACTCCAAAATCCCGCAAATCCCCTAGACGCAATCAAAAAACAATGGGAGAATGACATAGGCTATGAGATTAACCCCACTCAATGGACCAGAATGTGGTCTAAACCCCCCTTTAAATCCATATCAATGAAAAGAAAACTCACACTGAAACTCACCTACAGGTGGTACCTAACAGCAAGGAAACTAGCGCTAATACACCCAGGAACCTCACCAAAATGCTGGAGAGGGTGCACCTCCACAGGCACATACTTCCACATGTGGTGGGAGTGTCCCAAAATCCAACTATTCTGGACAACAGCCATACAAGAAATTTGTAAAATAACTAAGCAAGTAATAGACATCACCCCAGAATTGGCCCTACTAAACATCTTCCAAGACAACAATGCCCATTTACACCACAAAGAACTCATAACCCATCTACTTTCAGCAGCCAGAAACACCATAACCAGACACTGGAGAGACCTGTCAGGAGTAAGCATGGACCAAGGGTACCAAATAGTATGGGAAACAGCCCTACTAGAAAAATTAACTAATAGAAGAGAAGAGAGTTTGGATTTGATATCCCGCCTTTCACTCCCTTTAAGGAGTCTCAAAGCGGCTAACATTCTCCTTTCCCTTCCTCCCCCACAACAAACACTCTGTGAGGTGAGTGGGGCTGAGAGACTTCAGACTTCAGTTAATAAACTGAAACTGACACGGGGACAAACAGAAGAAGACGCCTTCACCCCGGTATGGCTCCCCTTTATCAAATACATAGCCCAACAGGACAATGACAATAATCCACCAACAGCATACAAATCATTATGGCTAACCTGATCCAAAACACCCACCCACCTCACTCACACACGAAAACAAAGATCACCACAGCCAAGCACAAGCAAACAATCACACCCTAGGCCAACCCCAACCTCTCTCACCACCAAAGGAACACAAGTGAACAACACAAGCACGCTGACACCAAACTCTACATACATTAAACATAATAGAAACACCGCCACCCTACCCCACCCCCATCCATCTTCCCTCTCTCCACCCCCCTTTCTTTTTTCTTTTTTGTTCTTCTCCCCCTAATACCTCAACAAATGAAACGGATTTGTAAAAATGTTACATGAAAAAAAAATACGAGGCACTACACTTCTGTAAAACAAGAAAATCCTTAATAATTTTTTTTTTAAAAAAAACACCTTTCTGTAAAAAAGGCATTTTATTATTCCAAAAAGGAAACCTCCCTCTGATTGTCCAAATTAAGAGCAGGCCAGCAAAGCCTGAGTCTGACTGATTTAAATCTGGATTTGAATCGGGATTTCAATGAGAAAAATCAAGATGAAGAGGATGCCAGCATGGCTGAGCTGTACTGTAAAGAAGGGATTTAAACCCAGTTGGACGGGCGAGGGGTTTAAATTGCGATTTCCATCCATCGCTTAGATTTCAAGCAGAGGCTGGGCGGCCATCTGTCCAGGCTACTTGAGGAGAGAGTCCTGCCTGGTGGTGGGTCAGACTTGGTGACCGCCAGGGGTCCCTTTTAACTTGGCGAGGTACTTATCCGTCACATTCCTAGAGGTTGAGGACCAGGTTGCCCAGGAAGCAGATGGACGAGTGCTCCACGTCGACTGCAAGGGGCAAAATATGATCATGATCATGATTATCATCATTCTGTTGGGAGCCACCCAGATGGGCAGTGTATAAAGAATAACATTATTATTATTTTATGATTTTGAAAAGTATTCTCCCTCTTGAGGCTGAACCTTTCTGTAAATAGATTTAAATCAAGTTTGATAGGCGAGGGATTTCAATGGGGAAGGGGCACCAGGGTCATCTAGTCCAACCCGCTGCCAAGATGGATTTTGTCTCCTGCAGATTTTCAAGGAGAGGGAGGAGGATTTGAAGCGGCTCTCGCGCCCACTGGAGTGCGCCTGCTTTCGGACCTCCATCTGGGATGAAACTCTCTACAAGGTGTGACCGAAATATATATATACATTTTGCTCATAATGTTGTACCTTGGTTCCCAATGCCCTCAAACTCTGACCTTTCAATTCTGCAGTTCAACTGAATAACACAATTTCCTTGAAGTTAATTTCATTGAAATTCATTTAAATTTCATAGCACAAATTCATTCCATTTGATTTAAACTCCATTGAAATTCAACTTAATTTCATAGCACCAATTCATTCAATTTCATTCGATTTCATTCAAGTTGATTCAGTTTCATTCAAATTCATTCAATTTCATAGCACAAATTCATTCAATTTCATTTAAGTGAATTCCTTTGAAATTCAGCTTAATTTCATAGCACCAGTTCATTCGATTTCATTTGATTTGATTCAAGTTGATTTGGTTTCCTTCAAATTAATTCAATTTCATTCAAATTAATTCAATTTAAAAGCACCAATTCATTTGTTTTCATTCAATTTCATTCAAATTAATTCAGTTTAATAGCACAAATTCATTCGATTTCATTCAAGTTAATTCAATTTCATTCAAATTAATTCAATGCACCTGCTTCCAGACCTCCATCTGGGATGAAACGCTCTACAAGGAGCGCCTGAAATCTTTTATTTATTTATTTATTTATTTATTGCCCATATAGTTGTACCTCGTACCCCCTCAAACTCGGGCCTTTGGTACGGGATGCTAGCAAGGTTGAGCCTTTCTGTAAAAAATGGATTCATCATCAATGTTGTTGTTGTTGTTGTTATTCCTTCCTGCGATTGTCACTATTAAGAAAATGCAAGCAAGGTTGAAACTTTCTGTAAAAAGGGATTTTATCAGGAGCTCCCTGCTGCCAATTGGAAACCGTGCTTTAGTTTCTGGGCGGACTTCTGGAATGGACTCCGTATGACTTGCCAACGTGCGACTTGTTTTTGCAAAGGAAAAAAACTACCGTATTTTTCTCTCCATAAGACGCACCAGACCACAAGACGCACATAGTTTTTGGAGGAGGAAAACAAGAAAAAAAATATTCTGAATCTCAGAAGCCAGAATAGCAAGAGGGATCGCTGTGCAGTGAAAGCAGCAATCCCTCTTGCTGTTCTGGCTTCTGTGATAGCTGCGCAGCCTGCATTCGCTCCATAAGACGCACACACATTTCCCTTACTTTTTAGGAGGAAAAAAGTGAGTCTTATAGAGCAAAAAATACGGTACCTTAATTCAAGTGAATTCGGTTTAGGTTAATTTCATAACACCAATTCATTCAATTTCGTTCAACTGAGTTTCATTTAATAGCACAAATTTGTTTGATTTCATTCGTTAATTTATTTAATAACACAAATTAATTTGATTTCATTCGATTTTTCGTGGGGCAGGCGTGGTCGAGTATAGTCTACCAGCTTATCCCCAACGTTCAGCAACTGGAGACCAACCTGAGGAATTTTGCGCAGATCATTGAAGCCGACGAGGTCCTTCTTTTTGAGCGGGCAACTTTCCTGGTAAGATTATTGTTGTTGATGATGATGATGATGATGATGATGATGATGTTATTAGGGTTAGGAATAGGGATTAGGGATAGGGTTGTTGTTGTTGTTGTTGTTGTTGTTAATGTTGGGAGCCGCTGTCAGGGCTACAGATAGTCTTCCTGAGCAGCTGCCAGCCTGGGCAGAGAGCCAAATGCAGATAAGAGAGGTGGCTGTGGAAACTCATTCCCAGGAAGTAGGAGAAGGGTCATCTCCCAGGCTAGAGGAATCTGCAGATAGCCTTTCAGAGATGGCAGGTCAGCCTTTGAGTATTCCCGAGCGTAGAAAAGGGGGAGTACAGGATAGGCGGCAAACTATGTCACAATATGCTAAGAGAAGGTTCCTCCCACGTTGCTTTTGTCGAAGGAAATGCGACACTTCGCACTCAGTCGAGTCATCATCTTAAAGTGGAGACTGACTCCCGGGAGGGGAGCTCTCAGCAATCTGTAATCTTTTTGGAATAAAACCAACCTTTTAATGAACTATGATCACTCACGTTTCACTGCTGCTACCGCCGCCTAGAGTGGCTGGGGAAACCCAGTCAGATGGGCAGGGTATAAAGAATAAATTATTATTATTATTAGGGTTAGGGACAGGAATAGGGATTAGAGATAGGGTTGTTATTATTATTATTATTTATTATTATTATTAGGGTTAGGGATAAGGTTTAGAGATAGGGATAGAAGCTGGGGATCTGGATTTGGGATAGGATTATTATTATTATTATTATTATTATTATCATCACTATCATTATTATCATTATTTGTTATTATTATTAATAATAGCAAATAGTTAAATAAATGGTTTAAATTCTATTAAGGAAATGACTGTTTTTCTCCTTCCAATAAAGTAAGACTTGATTTAAATCCTTTGCTGGCCTCCTCTTAATATCGACAGTTGGAGGAAATCCTGAACTGACAAGCGATCTAAACCGTTATTTAAATTGATTTGATTCAAATCAAATTCACCCTGCTCTAAAAATGTATCATTCCGAAAAGAAAACCTTCCTTTGCTCGTTGATATTCAGAAGATGCCAGCAAGTCTGAACCTTTCTGTAAAAAAAGATTTTATTTTGTTTGCCTCTCCAGCAAAGCATTCTGGGAAAGGAATTGGGCAATGCTTTCTGTAGAAATAAAAGAAATTTATTATGGTTTTCCCCTCCCTACAGGTGATTTCCCACTATCAGTGCAAAGAGCAGCGAGACATCCACCGATTTGAGAAAATCAGCAATATCATCAAACAATTCAAACTGAGCTGCAGGTGAGAAACATGTTACTATAGACGGCCGTTTCGGGGTGGGGGTGGAATTCTGGAAAATAGCTTGGCAGCCGTGGCATGGAAATTAGGTCTGTCTCATTATTATAATCATGTATGAGCTTAATTGGTAACATCAAATATAATTTATAATTTCAATCCTAAAATTATAATCCTCAAATTTAAAATTCTTCAAATGCAAGTTTTAATTTAGTTGATTATTTAATTTTAAAATAAAATAAAATGAGGTGATAATGTTGTCGATTAATTGACAAGTCTAAAATGTAATTTATTATTTTTTATGATTCATACCTTCTTATATTTATTTTAAAATGTGACAATTGAAATGATGAAATATAAGTAGGAAAAATTACAAATGCTATTACTTAGAAAGGAAATACGGTAACCATGAGGCTGGAGGGAGGGAAGTCGATTAACTGACAAGTCTAAAATGTCAATTTAAACTGTTTCCCAAATACAGTTCACAAGATTGGCAATTAATTGATAATATTTCTAAGTTTAATACAGATTTAATGTAGTATTTGTATTTGGTTTATTCTATTTATAAATTTAGTACAGATTTAATATAATATTTATCTTTTGTTTTATAATTCAATTTATATTTACAAATGTAGCTTAAATGTGATATAATATTCATGCTTAATTTGCACTATTTATAAATTTAAAACTGATTTAATATTTATATTTATTTCATAATATTGATAAATTTGATATATATTTAATTTGCACTATTTATAAATTTAAGACAGACTCAATATAATATTTATATTTAATTTATTCTCTTTATAAATGTAAGGCAGGTTTAATATATTTTTATTTATTTTATAGTATAATTTATAAATATGATAGAAATCTAATAAAGTTAGATTTAATTTATACTATTTATAAATTTGATATGGATTTAATATATTTATTTGATTATATTTATAAAATTTTATATAAATCAAATATTTATATTTAAATTACAATACAGTGGCACCTCTGGTTGCGAACAGGATCCATTCTGGAGCCCTGAGCAGAAAGCAACCAGCGTCTGTGTGTGTGTGGGTCGTGATTCGCAGCTTCTGCGCACGCACGTGACGTCATTTTGAGCATCTGTACGTGCGTGAGTGGCGAAACCTGAAAGTAACCCTTTCTGTTACTTCCGGGATGCCACGGGATGCAACCTGAAAACGCTCAACCTGAAGCGTCTTTAACCCGAGGTATGAATGTATTTATAATTTTAATACAGATTTAATATATTTATATTTAATTTACTCTATGGATAGATCTAATGTAGATTTAATATAACATAACATTTATATATATTTATATATATTTTATAATAAAATTTATAAAATTTAAGAGTTTTAATATGTTTATTTTATAATCTTTTTCAATTCGATAAAATTTTAATATATTTTTAAATTTAATGCAGATTTAATACTTATATTGAATTTATAAATTTGATGTAAATATAATCTACTATTAATACTGAATTTATGACATTAAAATCCATATAAATATCAATTTGTAAAATCAAAAACTGCAAATCTGAATCCTGGAATGTTTGAGCTGTGCTCATAAATGTCCTCCTCCACCACCAGCAAACTGGCCGCCTCTTTCCAGAGCATGGAGGTACGCAATTCGAATTTCGCCGCCTTCATCGACATCTTCACCTCCAACACCTACGTGATGGTCGTCATGTCCGACCCTTCCATACGTAAGTTTGAAAGGCTCGGGTTCAAATCCTCCACAAATCCAGTGGCAGGGAGTTCCATGGGTATCAGAAAGGTGGGAAAGCGCTCCAGTGCCGGGGGAATCCAATGGTGGGGAGTTGCGCAGGTATGGGGAAGCCAGGAAGCTCATCCCTCCTCTCGCGGCTCACTTCCAGCTTCTGCTGCCACCCTGATCAACATCCGCAATGCTCGCAAGCACTTTGAGAAGCTGGAGAGGGTGGACGGGCCCAAGCACAGCCTCCTCATGCGCTGAGTGGCACAGCGCCGACTGCTTCTGCCCAGGGAGGCTCAGCCGACCCTGGAAAAGGGTGCAACTGTCTGCAACTCTGGAAATGGCAATTAAATTTGGAATGTTATGAGATAATAAATGCACATCCTGTATGTCTAATAAATGCACCACTGTCTGTCTCTTCTGTTGTTGCTTAAAATCTTCGCCAGATGAAAACTGTTCTCGCGGCGCTATCACCTTTGCAAACAGCGCTGCTGTTTTCCCTTATGGAGTTCTGCAGAGCCCAAGTGAATAATAATAATAATAATAATAATAATAATAATAATAATACGCCAGTGTGGTGTAGTGGTTAAGAGCGGTAGTCTGCTAATCTGGGGAACCGGGTTCGCGTCTCCGCTCCTCCACTTGCAGCTGCTGGGTGACCTTGGGCCAGTCATACTTCCTTGAAGTCTCTCAGCCTCACTCACCTCACAGAGTGTTTGTTGTGGGGGAGGAAGGGAAAGGAGAATGTTAGCCGCTTTGAGACTCCTTAAAGGGAGTGAAAGGCGGGATATCAAATCCAAACTCCTCCTCCTCCTCCTAATAATTTATTATTTATACCCCACTCATCTGGCTGGGTTTTCCCAGCCACTCTGGGCGGTTTCCCACAAAAGATGAAAAATATATTCAAAGGTGAACCGGGGTGGGGCTCTGCAGACGTCCGGGGGGCTTAGTCCGGAGCCGGATCGGGCGCTGGAGTGGGAAGCAGGTTGGCTGCCTGCATTTTCCACACAGCAGGGAATAGCCACATAACTCACAGAAACTGGTTTTCAGGGTCCATTTCCACCGGGGTTTCGGCCTGGTTTCGGTTTCCCAAACGCCAAAAAGCCCGAAGGAAGTGTTCCAGTTTTCGGACGTTTTCCGGAAGCTGAGTGTTTGACGCGGCTGCCGGCGATTGTTTCTCTGGTGTCTGTGCCAATCTGAAGCCGCGTCTCGGTTTTTGAACATTTCGGAAGTCAAATGGTACTTTGCTTATTGCTCTTGATTTGGTGTTTTTGTGGCTTTTTCGGTTCCTCTTTTTGTGGCTGTGCGGAACCCAGTTCAGCTCCTGATGGATTGACTGCGGAAATGGCTAGAAGCATCCAAACAATGACTTATCATCAGTGCAGGTAAGAAAAAAAAATAATTTTCATTTTTATCATCTACAATATCTTATTTATTTTACCGTACAGTACATTAGTGATTGCTTTCATTTTATGGATCAGTGGTCTCAATAGAAAGTAAAATTCATGTTCAGATTGCTGTTTTTAAAAGTCTGGAATAGTTTACCGTATTTTTCCCTCTATAACACGCAGATTTTTTCTCCTAAAAAGGAAGGGGAAATGTCTGTGCGTGTTATAGAGCGAATGTGTGGTCCCTGGAGCCAAAAAATCAAGCAAAAGTCAAATGGCGAGTCACGGAGAAGGGAAACCTGAAAAGAGGAAGTGGCTGCTTTCCTGCATTCTGCCTCAGGGTCTTACTGCCCACCCTTCTCTGTTTCGTTGCTGTGATTGCTGAAACGGAACAAAGAGCAGAGAAAGCCCCTCCCCTCCAGGCAAGCAGAGTGTCGTTCTTTTAATTCCTCTCTGTGCTCCGGTGCTGCTGGGGGAGAGGGAGAGAGAGTGGGGGAGGGAGAGGGAGAGGGGGGGAGGGTGAGGGAGAGAGAGTGGGAGAGGGAGAGGGGGGGAGGGAGAGGGAGAGAGAGGGGGGGAGAGAGAGAGAGAGAGAGAGAGATGGCTGGCTGGCTTGGGGGGGAACTTTTGCCTTTCTTTCCTCCCACCCGTTAAATCCCTCTCCAGCATTCTTAGCCAGCTGCTTCTCTGCACACCCCTCTCATGTCCCTTCTTTGTTTTTCCTTCGCTCCCCACTTAAAATGTGGTTACAAAGCATAGATCAACATGGATCCTCAGGATCTTTGCATTGGGTCACCCCAAATTCACCATCAGATCAAATAGCATGTCCATGGCTACAGCCTGCCCCCCCAAAATCACGCACCCATTGTTGCCTGGGGCTGCAATGGTGCAAAACGTGGTTAAAAAGCATGGATCCACATGGATCCTCAGGATCTTTGCATTGGGTCACCCCAAATTCACCATCAGGTCACATAGCATGTCCATGGCTACAGCCTGCCCCCCCCCCAAAATCACGCACCCATTGTTGCCTGGGGCTGCAATGGTGCAAAACGTGGTTAAAAAGCATGGGTCCATATGGATCCTCAGGATCTTTGCATTGGGTCACCCCAAATTCACCATCAGATCACATAGCATGTCCATGGCTACAGCCTGCACCAAAAAAAGCACGCACCCACTGTTGCCTGGGGCTGCAATGGTGCAAAAACGTGGTTACAAAGCATGGATCGACAGGGATTCTCAGGATTTTTGCATTGGGTCACCCCAAATTCACCATCAGATCACATAGCATGTCCATGGCTACAGCCTGCACCAAAAAAAGCACGCACCCACTGTTGCCTGGGGCTGCAATGGTGCAAAAATGTGGTTACAAAGCATGGATCCACAGGAATTCTCAGGATTTTTGCATTGGGTCACCCCAAATTCACCATCAGATCACATGTCTGTGGCCACAGCATGAAGCACAAAAATGATACATCCACTGTTTCATTCAGAATGTTTTTTCCCTTGTTTTCCTCCTCTAAAAACGATGTGCGTGTTATGGTCAGGTGCGTGTTATAGAGCGAAAAATACAGTAATCTGTTTGGAATTCCTTTGCATGGGAAAGTGTGCTTTGGGTTCGGAACGGATTACGTTTGAGAATCCAGGTACCACTGTATGTTGGCAACCAGGAAGAGGGCCTTCTTGGTGGTGGCGCCCGCCTTGTGGAACGCCCTCCCATCAGATGTCAAAGAAATAAACAACTAAATTAGACATTTAGAAGACATCTGAAGGCAGCCCTGTTTACGGAAGTTTTGAATGACAGACATTCTAATGTATTTTTAATCTTTTGTTGGAAGCTGCCAAGAGTGGCTGGGGAAACCCAGCCGGATGGGAGAGGTAGAAATAATTTGTTGTTGTTGTTATTAATATTTTTAGAAAATTGTATTAGATTAAAATAATTAGGTTTGATTCTAATTTGGAAAGCCAATAAAAGGACTCGGAAGGCTGGACTCCCTCTGGAAAAGGCTGCCTGCCTCCTGTCCGCGGGAAGGTAGAGTCAGAAAGGGCGGAGCAGCCCAACCCGGATCGGCTCCTGCTGGTGCGGGGAGGGGGGAATGGTAAAAGGGTGGAGAAGGAGGGGAGAAGGAAGGAGGGCGGCGGCGGCTGCGCCCTCCGCCGCGCAATTTGGCCACCTGCCTCCTCCCTTCCCCCCACCCCCGCTGCTGATTGACAGCCCGTGGAGTCGCGACTGGGTGGAGCCGCTGGGTGGGGTCAGGCAGTTGGGTGGGGGAGAGAGGAGCCGCCGCCACCGGCGCCGCGTCTAGCAGCCAGGCTCGCTTTTGCACACACGGCGAGGGGAGCGCACTGCGCGGAGGCGGTGAGCGCGCGGGGAAGCGGTCCGGGGCAGTGGGTGGATGCGGTGATGGGTGGGGTCAGGGACGGGCAAATGGGTGGGGGAGCGCGGCTCTGCAGAAGAGAGCCGCCGCCGCCCCCGGCGCGTCCAGCCAGGCTTGGGTACCCCCGGCAAGAGGTGCGCCCAGCAGGAGCGGGCTGGGAGGTGGTCCTGCAGGGCGGTGGGTGGAGGCGGTGGTGGGTGGGGTGAGGGACAGGCAGATGGGTGGGTGAGCCCGGCTCGTCGGAGAAAAGCAGCCAGACAGGCTCGCTTTGCGCACGGGGACCGCCGGCGAGAGGAGCGGGCAGCGAGGTGGTCCAGCAGGGCGGTGGGTGGAGGAGGTGGCGGGTGGGTGGGCAGGGAAGCGGTCAAGGGCGGTGGGCGGAGGAGGCGGAAGCGCGGAGGCGGCGCCAGCCTCCCGCAAACGGGAGCGGCAGAGGACGCAGCGAGCCCGCCGGGAAGAGGAGGAGCTGGAGGCGTCTGTTACTAACGGAGGAGAGCCTCGGCTGGGCGTCTCCCGAGGGGGTGTGGCGGGGGTGGGGGCTTTCTGGCGCGGCTCTGCTGCTTCCCCCTGCCCCGCCGCCGCCCCCGGTTCTGGGGCTCGAGCAAGCTCCGTGAGCCGATTCCGCGGGTGATGGAGCCAGGGTGGCGGCCGCTGCGCCCCTGGTGGCGGCGGATTGCCGGGGGGGGGGAAGGCTGGCTCGGGCTCGGGTTGACAGGTGGGGGCGGGGGCGGTGGGTGGAGGCGGTGGTGGGTGGGGTCAGGGACGGGCAGATGGGTGGGGGAGCCCGGCTCGGCAGAGAAGAGCAGCCACCGCCACCGCCACCATCACTACCGGCGGCGCGTCCAGCCAGGCTGCCTTTGCGCACGGGGACCCGCGGAGAGAGGTGCGCCCGGCGCGGAGGCGCTAAGCGGGCAAGGAAGCCTCGGTCAAGGGCGGTTAGCGGAGGAGGCGGAAGCGCGGAGGCGCCACCCCCGAGGAAACGGGAGCGGCAGAGGGCGCAGTCGAGCGCGCAGGAAAGAGGAGGAGCTGAAGAGGCCGGGCCGCTGCGCCTGTTATTACGCACGGGAGAGCCTCTGCTGGGCGTCTCCCGAGTTGGGGTGGCGGGGTGGGGGGCTTTCTGGCGCGGCACTGCTGCTCCCTAGTCCCCCTGGTTCTGGCTGGCAGCGAGTCGGGGAGTGGGGGGCTGGAGCAAGCTCCGTGAGAACGATCCCGCGGGTGGAGCCAGGGTAGCCGCTGCGCTCCCGGAGGAGGCGAGGGAGCGAGGCTGGCTCCGCGTCGACAGGTGGGGGCGCCCCCGGGCGGTGAGTGGGTTGAGGAGGTGGAAGCGCGGAGGCGGCGCCCCCCGAGGAAATGGGAGCGGCGGGCAGCGCGCAGGGAAGAGGAGGAGCTGGAGGACCGGCAGCCGCGACTTTTACGCACGGGAGAGCCTCTGCTTGGCGTCTCCCGAGGGGGTGCGCTCGAGCCACTGTCTGGCAGCAAGTCCGGGGCTCGAGCAGGCTCCGTGAGAACGATCCATGGGTGGCCACTGCGCCTCCGGTGTCTGCGAGGCGATGGAGTGAGACCGGCTCCGGGTTGACAGGCGGGGGCGCTCCCGGGTGGTGGGCGGAGGAGGCGAAAGCGCGGAGGCGGCACAACTCCAGGAAACGGGAGCGG